ACAGAACATTGAAAGGCGTTTTAACTGTGCTTTAAAGTCTGATTTCGTATCAAAATAACTATGCTAGAATGGTGTTATATATAAATCTAATATATATCCTAAGTCGCACTTTCGAGACATGAAAAACGCAATTTGACTTTTGTCAATCGGCCCAGTAGAACGGGAGATATAAAACTGTCCCCCCCCCTTTTTTTTTGCGCAGTGTACATGATATAATGTCATTTACTGATATTTGTTTTGTGATGAGTCAAAAATTTTTATTTCATCCCCAAAATGTTAAATTTTTGTTAAAGGCTACTTGCTCAATTTTTTTTTGTTTAAATTCACAAGTATAGTTACAAATGCCAAGGTTTTGTGTAAGTGGGTGAATTTTAATGTCTAGCCTAATGCACAAAATGCACTGCAATTATTTTTCAACTGTGTATTCCATATCCACAAAATGCACTGCAAAAATTTTTCAACTCTGTATTCCATATACATAATGTGCAAAGAACTGATGACTGCAGTTGCTGCCATTTACATAATCGTTATATGAATTAGAAGTAAACTTCAAATAAACTTTTTGGCAGCGTTCATTTTTGTATTCATACACACCACACACACACACATATATATACACACATATTTAATAAGTCATATATTTGCATACACATAGAGAGAGAGATGCGATGGTTTAGAAGTTGTTGATGTATGTTTATTAGTATTAATGTAATGAATAAGATTTAATATTAATGAATGTATCTACAAATGTTTTTCATCATTCATAATAATAAATCTGTAAATTTCCAATGTTTCAATATGTAGCATTTATAACAAAAATATAGTTCTTAATGTGTTTAGAATCTAAAAAGCATTTCTTTAATAACATGAAAATAACAGCATACATTTTAATGTGTATCCTCATTATTACATAATCTATTTTATAATAAATGTACATAATCGCTGATTATGCAATTTCAATTTAAAAGTAATAAAAGTAATTAGCAGAATAAAATTGTGCATATACAAACATATTTTAAAAAATTATTTCCTTAATAAAAAAAAATTCTGTTACATAACAATAAAATTTTTTTACACATGATCAGCACGAAATATGACAAATTTGGTGAACTTTTGGCGATGAATAATTTGTAAACAAATCATCAAAAATAGCACATCGTAAAATATTGTCTACTCTGAAATTTCCACAATTATAAATTTAATGAATATATGAACATTTAAAAATTTCTTAGACATACTACAACAAAACAGCAATATATATATGGCTTTTTCCATATGTCTTCAATTAAATCGGCTTCTATTTGCACCGTCCATGATTTTACGAGAGCCATCGCCATATTGAAAATTACTGTGATCCTTCAGAAGCAGAACTTCCATCTCATTGGCAGAACTCTGCATGGAACATTTTTGGGAAGGTTTCAAAATGTTGCTCATAGCCGAGACATGTTGCTCCTAGCTAGATGAAACATTTCTCGGAAACCTCCCATTGATACCAGTGCTACTAGAGTCTTGTTTTTCGGAATTGTCCTGCCTAGCTGCGTATGTCCCTAGAAGTGATAGCTACTTTAGAGTTGAGAAGCTTTACTCAGTTTCAGCACAGGTCATTGGGATAGTAAAAATAGTTAGCAACAGTTTGTAATCTCTGAAAACATAGTCTGTAAGTAGTTTTCTATAATAAATTGTCGAAGCCTGATGAAACCAGTCATATTTCTGAATCTGATTTGTGAATTATTTTTAGTTCAGTTTTAAGACGTCTCTTCTGTAATGTAGAATAAACATAAATTGTTTGGTCAAAAATCTAAGTTGGAAACTGTTTCTCGTACTTCTGGAATTTTGGAGCTTCGAGAAGAGACGAGCAGAGTAGTGAGAAATAGAACAAAATCTCTCTTTTGCCTGATTTGTGATAACATAGTATGTATATTTAGCTCCTACAGTTCTGTTTATATGAATATTTTCTCTCTTCCTTTTTCCTTGAAGTTTCTTGTGATTCCAATATCTCCTCTGTCACTATGTCCATTCTTTTCCTTTCTTTCTCTAATGACTGTTGGAAAATATTTATTTGCTTTCTAATCAATGCTGGATAAGTTTTCTGAAGCTGGTTGTGTAACACATCAACATGTGCTATAATATTTTGAAACAGTGTAAGCCAAAACACAAGTTCTGAGTTTCCTAACATATGGCAGATAGCTTCTACTCAATTTATTTTACAGCTTGTTTAGATGCTTACTCTATTTTTTCTATGCATTCAATTAACTGTTCCCTATATTCATACTCTGTAAATTCCATTTAGTAGCTGAACTGTGAGGTATCCTTTTCTAAAAGTTTAATAGAAAATAGCAATTCACTCTGAAGAGTTATTGAAAAGGTTAGTAAGGTTGGAAAAAATTACTTGAACTTACCAGTTCTGACTGGTTACATGCCTAACAATTTAATTAAGCTGATGTATGTAGCAATGCACAAATTGGGCATTCTAGTAGGTGCGTTGAATAAAAGCTTGAACAACAGCATGATGACCAGCCATCACGCTTGCATATATGATATTAACCACTTGTGCTAAAAAGACATGCCATGCACGTCGAGATGCTTTTGTCTCAAACCACACGCAAAAAATGAAAATAACGTGGTGCACACATCGCCTAACAACGAGATTGTTTATTTCTAGAGTTAGAGCTCTGGATTGTACTCGCAGACGCAGAGTGCCGTAAGTGAGACACTTTACCGCTTGTTATATTGTAGTGCGCGGCACCGCAACCATGAAGTTTAGTCGTACCACAAGTGGTTAATATCTTGGGTTTGTCTACTACTTTTTATAAACTTGCTTGGAAGCATTCAGCTATAGATTTTGCATCATGGCCAGGTAGATTCGTGAATTCCCAGAATCCTTCAAACAGTTGTCTGTTATTAAAATGACGAAATCAAAAAATGACAATCAGTTAGGGAGTGGATGACACATCAGTAGTTTCATCTGCTGTTAACAAAACTTGCTTTTGTGATCTCATTTTTTATGTTGTTTTGAGAAACAATGAACATGCAGTCTAATAAATTATTTTTAATTTCTTTTGACGTTCCTTTAAAAATAGTGGCACTAGTGAGAATCGTCTTTAAGAAACAAGTTCTGATTAGAAGTTGGTAAGACTTCTAAAAACTCCCAGATTTAATGAGTCCTTGCATTCATCGTGTCCTCGAAATGCAAGCTCAGATGTACCACAAAACAGAATGCAATCAATAATTTTTGTTTTGAACATAACAATTTTTGGCACCTTCTCACTAAGTCATTGTCTCATTGTACTGTTGAGTTTTTTTGCAAATATCTACCTTTCCTAGAAATTAAATTCTAAAAGGGAGTTTAAATGTGAATGTGAGTGTTCATACTTTATTATTTTCTGTGGTAGATGTGATAAATGAGCAACTCCATAACTCGCCCAACTTGGATCACTATTAATTACATTTTACAAAATGGGGCATAGAAAACAAAACTGCCTATTAGTTGATTCACATCCACAAATCCATGAACATTTCTCTTATAAATCAGGTTTGAATTCCCTTCTGAAATCTTATATTATATATCTTATATTATATAAATATAGTCTTACATTTCATCACCTGGATAAGATTTATCAAAGGTGTTAACCTGAGTAATTTCATTTCAGTTTTTCGTTCCAAAGCCAGCATTAAGAAATGTAATTGCTTTATTTCTGAAACACTGATTTTACTAAGTGCTATTTTAACTATTCAGACTAGTTCATAACAAATATATTAAAAAAATGATAACAATAAAAAAGAAGAAAATGCAAAAAACAAATTAACTAACTGAATATAGCAAACCAAGGGAGAATTTAAACAAGATAACTGCAAACAGTGCGAGCTCCCGCACAGATGATGTGTGAATACAGTGGTATCAGTGGTGTGGTGCCTTTGCCCTTCTGCTCCTGTCTCCAGAAAATGGTTTTCAGGAGCATTTCTTTGATAGCATGTGCAATTGAGGGAAAACCAAGTGCATTGTGCTGTAGTAGCCTACAGTATAGTATGTTAGCTATGTATTAGTATATTTAAAAGGGAGGAAAGAAAACTCATCCTGGAAATTGATGAAAATATAGAAATGTATTTAATATTATTTTATTTGTTAATAAATTTATTTCTTCACATTTCTTTGGAGTTTCACATGCTCATGTGCACAAGTAGAGGTGCTGTCACTGCTCATAGGTCAACCCTCATCTCAGCATTTGTAAAAAATTTACCAATTTCATATTTTCAAAAAATTTGTTACATGATATGCCTGGATTATTCAGAAAGTGGTTGCCAAATGTCTTCTTCTGTTACTGATGCAGCAACTTGTTTTTGATCATTCTTCAACAATTCATATTAATTGAAGTTGTTTTTAGTTCTTCTTATTTCATAATTTTTTAAAAGTATAGCATACTTAAAGCATTTCTTTATTGTCTTTTCTGAGATGTGGTTCCAAGATATTTTCAACAAATTAAGAGCATCAAGAAGGCTAATTCATTTACATTTATATCATGTCTGTTATAAAGTATTCTTAATGCTACTTATTTCATGGCAATAATGTTTCTTTCATCACTCAAATAATCATTTGTTGTAGGAAAATTAAAAAATAGATATCAGAAATCTTACATGTGACAGTTCCAAGCTTTTAAACTTTTAATTTCATTTAAATATGTTATGTGAAATACATATTTCTGTTATGAAATAAACAATTTTGTAACAGTTTATATTTACTATAGTTTTGTAACAAATTTTTATGTATAAACTAATAATGGGCAAACAACTAAATCGGTCTCTAGAATAGAGTAAATAATTTCCTGGTTTTATAATGGCTGTGAAACTGTGTTTTTTCATAAAGGATGAAATTATTGTGTGTAACCTGAAATATTTTATTGAAAGCTTTCCAAGTGATATAAAATTGTTTTAAAAAATAAAAACATACATAGATTTATATATTTTTAATTGTTATTGTATTGTGGATATTTTCCATAATATAGGATTTTGGAGATATCATTCCTGGGCATGGAGGAATTATGGATAGATTTGATTGTCAGTTCCTAATGGCCACATTTGTAAATGTGTATATATCCAGTTTTATAAGGTAATTTTTCCCCTTGTGAATTATAATTGTTATTTTTCTTATTATAATAAAACAATTTTAAAAGTTATTATTTTTTGTAACATTTAGAGGGGAAAAAATTCATATTTCTGAAAATTTAATGCTTGAATTTAACTCTGTTGTATTTAAAGTTGATATAAGTTCATTATAGCAACATAAAATGTTCTTAACATGTACATATAAACATTTAAGATCACCCTGTCGATCTGTCTAGCATAAATGTACATGATTAATTTCTGTAGACTGCTCTGCCCCACAATATATATACAGTGTCAGGCATGGAGTGTGAAGCAGCCATGTAAAAACACTATCTGATGTTCATCAAAAAATTAGTTTGTTTGAAGTATTATTTTTTGATACATTATACTCTTCAACTTTTCAAAGTCAAAAGCAGTTAATCCGGACTCGTCGGGACTTCGGCGATTCCGGATTATCGATTTTTCCAGATTATAGATCATCAGTTTAAATCTGGTAAGATGGCATGCAGAAATTATAAAATTAAAAATATGAAACCGTAATTTATGAAATAAAGAAACAATTATGATCTAAAGGGTATCAAAATTTACAAAAAAAAAAAAAGCTTAATATTTATTTGTTTACTTTATTAAACATGTTTCTTTCAATGTAAGTTGTTTAAGTTGCTTCGTTTTTTATGTGATAATACATTCTCTTTAATTCTATAAACAGACATAATTTCTTGTTCAGTTACAAAGTTCTGCTGTTCAAGTCCCATAATTGCTGTGTCGAGAATACTGACTAATTTTTCAATCAAAATTTTTTCGTTTTCAATAACCTCTGTCACTTTCTTTGCTATCGGAAGCGAATTATAATGACGAGGAATTTGATTTAAATCATATCAATGCTGAAGTACATCGAGATGAAATACTACATTTAGTAAGGAATTATAAGGCAAATAAAATAAAAACATCTGCCCTGAAGATAAGGATAGTGCTGACAGATCAACTTCCAATTCATTGTGCACTGCAGCGTTAAACATAAACAAAGTTTAGATAAATAAAGGATATGCCTTTATCCAGTTTTTGTTTAATGGACTTCGAAACATACTTTCACTTTGTAGATCCTTTACATAATAGTAAACATATATTAGAAATTCTATTTGACATAATCGAAAGTTCAAGCTTACTTTTATAAAATTGCTCTAACAGTCTGCAAAAAATAATAAGCCGAATCCAATTCGAAGATTAAGGAACAACGCAATCTGCAACATTAACTGAATTAGATAATTTTAGCTTAGCTTATACCGTCCGTTATACATTAAACGCGCATTCCTAAACGTATTTTGCGCACATGCAAATTCGCAGCCGTAAAGGTCTTACTGCGCAGAACGTTTGTAGCTTTGAGGTCTGGATTATAGATCATTCCGGATTATCGGTGTCCGAATTAACGACTTTTGACTGTATTTATTTTGAGTTAGTGAATAAACTGGTTTTTGTGATTATATTAAAAACACTGCAGATGCTTTCCGCCAGGGAAGCAAAAATATCTATAAGTTATTATTTATTTCATTATAAAGAAAATATTTTCTAAAACACAGGTTATACATGTGCCAGATACAGATTGCATCTGTTTTTGTACTTTGATACTGTGAAATTGAAATCCAGCAATTAAATTTTCCTGTTTAGTATTAGATGTTTTCTTCATAAGTATCTTGGAAAGTGTTTGAAAAATACTTTCCTGAAATATTGCAATGTAAATTATAAAATCCATGAATGAAATGAATGAATTTTCCATCACATGTTCAAATGGAAGAAAATTGCCTTTAATGGGAAGATATCAGCTCTATGTACTTTTTTTGCCCACCTTTTGGCTGCTTAATATTTAGGCATGAGAGTTAAGAAAAGGTATCACCATTTTATACATTGATGGAGGGAAAAAAGAATAAATAACTACGAAATCAATAACTGTTTGATCCCTGTATGAATTTACTAAATATTTTGACAGCGAAGGGTTTTTTTGTGGGAAACCAAGATTTTGTTTTCTGTTATATCCTCTATTTTCATTGGCTTTAAATTTCCAAAGCATTAAAAATATTCTAGGTCCTGTTCTCTGAAAGTATGATATTGATATATTAAATTAATTTTTTTTTAATTTTTTGAATCATTTTGTAGAAATCAAGTTTATTATTTTTCTTAGAATTTTTTTTTTGGGGGGGAAAGAATTCAGACCATACATTTTGTCCATCAAAAGCATTTCAATTTAAAAGCACATAAAGTCTAAATTTAATCGTACTTAGTTTTAAATCACTATTGAATATCTAATTTGGTGAATTTTATGTAAAGGAAAAATGATCTACGGTGAGAAGTGAATAAAGATGTGGAGTCTAAAAGCTAAATCTTTCTTTGTCATCATTTTGCAGCCTTCTACTAAGCCACAAGAACACCTGTACTTTAATGTAGTTATATCGTCAAGCTTTGCCATTTCTGTGCCCGCCTGTCAAAATATTACATATATATATATATATATATATACACTCATGGACAAAAAAATGCACCAAGAAGGACTTGTCAAAATGAAACAAAATTTTACATGCCTAATGACTACTTATAAGTAAATGATACAAAAATCAAAGAAATAGGATAATTTATTTCAGAGAAAAAGGCAAAAGAATGGAGAAGTTAATACCCCATTGGACCCCCTCTAGTGCGAATGCACGATGCAGTATGATCAGGCATTGAGTCATACAAGTTCTGTATGATGTCTTGAGACATTTCGTTCCATATTTGCTGTAACCTTGCCTCTAGTTCGTTCAAACTCGTGGGCGCAAGCCATGTGGCATACATTAATCTAGAAATGGCGCAGTACAATTTTTAGAATACAGAAAGGAAATAGCCAAATTAAAAATGAGAAATAAAGAGACTATTACTAAATTAAATGATAAAGTTGATTTACATATTTTTTTATCTTGCATAAATATTTTTCTTTTTTTAAATGTTTAAGAGATAAATACTTTTTGTAATGTTTTGATATTTGTCTATTTATGTCATCTTAAACTGCATTTATCTATAATAGCTTTTATGATTGAAAATAAATCAGTTGTGTGTGTGTATTAAGAAAATTAAAACATAAAACATGAAATGTTTTCAACATGAAATTGGTATTATATTTAGCTCATATTTCATACCTATCAGAAAATAAGAAAAAACTTTGTTAATATTTAATTCAAATCAGAATAGGTGTCCTTAAAATGTATTAAAAGTTATATATATTTTATAGGAATAAAAATACAGTAATTATATTGTATATAAAGAAAGAATTATCTTTTTCTTAACTTCAAATTTTATGCATTATATGAAACTCTTTAGGAGTACGTTAACTAATAAATAGCACGTGTTTTGAAATTTATCTGTTTTTGGATAACTGTAATGTGCATATATATATATATTTTTTTTTTTTTTTTTGGTTTCTTAAACATGTGAAGTAATAAAATAATTTTTCACCCTTTTAAATATTTTCTTTGTTATTTTTTAGAGCTCCTAATCCTCAAAAGCTGTTACAACAAGTCTTGTTGCTGAAAACTGAACAACAGTTGCAAATTTTTAACTCTCTTAAAGACCACCTATTGTCCAGAGGTGAAATACCATCATAAAAATGGTGCCCAGTTATTGTGATTCTTAACTGACAATTTTAAGTGATCATAATCCTTTACAGATGTCCACTCTTATTCTATATAAATAAGTAGCATGTCATGTGCCAATATCTTAGTTTAGAATTGCAGACTTTACAGTTCTGTTGAAGCTATGCAGTTTTCTTGGTTTTATTTTGCAATTTAATTTTTTAAGTTTTAAAATTTCTTTCTCTTTAATATGCATTTAATGTAATTTTAAATGAAAAAAAAAATCAGACTGTGTTTGTTTCTTTATAAAAATGTTTTTTATGTAATATTTTATTAATTCAAAATACTTTAATTGTATTTTTAAAATATGCTAAAGTAGGCACCTATTTAGTTTTAGAAAATGCAATAGAATTTGATAATGTCTTATTAATTCATTTGCAGATATATAAATTCCACTAGACTTTTAAACTGAATTTAAAAAAATTTGTTTTAATACAAAGGAAAGAAAATTATATTGAAATTCTATAGTTCTATTTTCCTCATCATGCACTTTGCATTCCATGGAAAGATATTAATTTGAGCTTTAAACATCCATCTCATATAGAAATTTCACTCAACAATTTTTGCTTGAATTTAATATTGAACCACATATATACATTTCTGTCACAATTTAAAGTTAAGATGCATATTTTTGTTTTTTAATTAGATGTGAATTATTAAGTAGTAATTTTACTGTTGTTATATTGCATTTCAAAACAAGATGACATTTAAGACTTCTACTGGAGGCTTACGTATGTATTTGATTATGTTAAGTTCATAATTTTGTTTTGGAATCTTTTACTTTGTATATGGAGGTTTAAATTACTCTCTTGAATGTATGTAATATATAATTACATTTTATGTATTTATTTTTTAAAACTTACTTATTTTCATATCATTTTAGAACTTTGATGTTTTAAAATATATCTGAGAAATTATTACTATAATATTGTATATTTTATAGTAGTTTTATGCAGCTTTACCTGAGTGCAAATACAAGCTGATATCCTAAGTTATATATATGTATATATTCTTTTTTTCTATTGTGGAGTGATGCTTCTGTTATAAATATTTATTCTGGAGCATAAATATATAGTTTGGTGGAAGACATATTTTATATCTTTCGATAGTTTTAATGACTCTGTCATTAAATATAAATTTTGTGCTTACCTATTATTAATTTTATTCTTTCTCATGAATATTACATCAGAAGGAATGTCAGAATGAAAATTGATAATTAAATACACCCGAGAATAACTGCCAGTGTATATCAGAATAATCTTTTATTGTGTTTTTTAACTGTTTTAGTATTTTTTCTTCAATCAAATTAGTTCTTAAAAGAAACAATGCATACATATTTTTGCATCATAGCGCTATATCATTGTAATTTTTTGCTTGAATTATGTCTCATTTATTTTTGAAATTATGGCTAGATTTGTCATTCAAAATGGTTAAATATTTTATAATATTTTGGAAAGATTATATGCATATTTGAAATTTTTAAGTTTTATTACTTACAGTTTCTTTTAGCACTAATCTCTTGACTAATTAGCATAATTGTTTTATGTTGTTAGGTTGTGATTTATGTAAAGAATTAAAATTAAAGAAGTTTTTTTTTTTTTTTTTCTCTCTTATCAACTAATTTATTCAGAATTAGTGTAGAATTTACTATAAAAATAAGTTTTTTGACGATTTTATCTGTATATATTTTTATGTATGTAATTTTTTTTTAATTTAGAAAAGCCAATTATATTATTGTTAGGATTTGAAAGCTGTTTAAAAGAGTTAACTGTTAAGAAGCACAATCTACTTTGTATTTTGAAAAAATGTAGGTTGTTACTGTATTTTAAAATCATTAATGTTATGACAATGTAACTGGAATGTTATAGTTTAGTTTTATGTTTGAGCTTATGTAAGTGTGATCATAATGGTTGCGTAGTAATTTTACATGAAAGTCCTAATAATTTTTAATTATGAACTCAGTCATTAAATTATTCAGTGACCACAAAATTGAAATAGTTAAAAATTTAGAAAAAAAAAAAAAAAAAAAGTATTGAAGGAAATGTGATCATTAATTATTTGAAAAGCTTAATTAGAGTAAAATAAAGCAACAGACAGTATTGAAAATTATTTAATGTAACTGTAAAAAAGATCAAGTGTCATTTCCCTTGCTTGATAACAATTAAAGGCAAGCTTCTGCATAGTGGTTCCCTCCTCTTCTTTTGATGAGAAAATTTAATAAAATGACAATATTTAGCATTTTTCAGTTCATTCTAAAATCATGAATTTATATTTTGTTTAATTTCATATTATTGTCAATAGTACTGTGATAGTTAATAAAGCTATAGATCTGCATATTGTTTAAACAAACAAAACAGTATATAAAACGTCTGTTGCAAGTTCAAAATAATTTTTTCAAGCAAAATAGTATGCATTTTATAAAAAAATATTTTTTACAGTTTATCCATAAAATTAGACTGAAAATATTTATAAGTCTAAGTAATCTTTGGAATATTTATAAGTCTACATCTGCTTATATAATTATTTGCTGCTATCGTGGTTTTATTCTCTAATGTTCATATTACTTACAGTTTTATGTTTAGTATATATGCTTATAAATATTATGTGTGGATGTCAATCAGAATTTGTTAATTAGTGATTTGTTAAGTATTGTATATCTTTAGAAAATTTAATTATATAAGAGATTACTTGAACATGTGATTTTAATTTGTGCTTAATTTGGTCCTTTAAATTATTCTAAAAATTATTAGAAGTGAATGCATCATAATGACAGGAAGCATTGTTTAGATATTTTATGGTTTTTGTCTTTCCTTAGTCTTTTTGTGTTGAAATATTACAATTATTTTTCGAAGAAGTTTTAATCAAACTCCTTTGTGCAAAACTACTTCATAAACAGTAATTTTTTAGCACTTTAAATTCATAAATTTAATTTCTAAAATTTCGTTGTAAAGTGCCTACAAATCTTTCAGTTTTATTCCTTTTATTTTTTTAACATTTATTTATTTCTTGTTTTAAAGTTTTTTAAACCTCTTTTGATGCAAAAAGTTATCTTAGAGTTGAAATTTTTTAAACTCTTTTTGCATTTAATTCTTCATTTTGTTTTTCAATGTCATTTTTGGAGAGGGGAATAAATAAAAAGGATTTTTTATATTTTTCCAATTATTGTGAGACATTTTTATGCATTTATAACATTCCAAGCTATTATCAGTGTTCATTAAAGTGCTTCACACTGTATGTTGCTGTTTTTCTCTTCTTTCTTCTGTATAATGTTTTAATGACTTTACCATTTATATATTTTATATGAAAAAATTCTAACATGCTATGTAATTGCTATGAAAGTTTACAAAATATATGGTGCATTCAAATTCAAAGATTTAATTATTTTTGGAAAAAAAAAAAAAAATATTTACTTTAGAAAAGCTAAAATTGCTGTCAATTTAGGTACCCTGAAAACAAATATATTTTTTCACAATCATGATGCAATGCTTGCATGTCAGCAGTCAGTGCTGCTTTAGGAGCCTGTTTGAACAACTGAAAAATCACTGATGCAAAAATGGAAGGATTTGAAAGACCTGTAATTACAGTGAGTGTTCTTTAACTTTGAAAAATGCAAAAAATCACTAGGTGTGAGGCCAAGTGAGCATGAACATTTGCTTCAAAGTTGTTGTGAAACTTCTAACATGAGGCACTCCAAGTCGTTAAAACACTTCTGAACATTGAACAAGAGTATTTTCTTGATGGTAAAGCATATTTATAACCGTTTCAGATCCCTTTTTTCAACGCTGGATGGAATTTTGTGCTCAGAACATGGGCTGCAGCATCACTGTAGGGCACACTGTCAATTTAGCAGTTCTTAATTAGCTTTTGTTTAACTCATGCAATTATGTTATCAGACTGGCTGAAACGTCTTTAATTTGATTTTATGTGTAATTGATGCACCCACAGAAGCACATTTTTTCATCAGTGATACTATCTCTACATGTTTCATCCTATTTATGATGAATTTTTTACCGTTTCATTATATGAACTTGGAGAAAAGGGATAATTATACACTGCTCTTCAAACATAAGCAACACATTGTTCTTTAGACAAAAGACTTTCCGCTTTAAGTATCTAAAATGATCCAGCTGTGAGACATGGTAACAAGTTTACAGTTAAGTAAAAGGCTAACTGCATTCCCCCTTCTGAAACTATGAAATTCTTACCTGGTTGATAACCCTCTGTTCTAAAACAGTTCTTACATTTTTACTTATTCCTGTTCCTGTGGTGGTAGGGAGGAATTAGGAGATCTTAGAACTTGAAGATACCTTGTCTTTGTTTGATTGATGATGGCAAAGCCTATGGAGGAAGTATAGGAGGCCATAGTATTGAAGATTATAGTAATATTTAATAAAGTAAGGAGATGTGCAATAACCATTAGAAGTAGTTAAAAGATTTCTGGTAATAGCAGCAGTGCTTTAAATTGTTACTGTGTATTAGAAAATTTTGGTCACTGTCAAATTTAAAGTTTTTAATTTTCCTTTGGTAGATGTTTCTCTGAAAGTTATTATTATTTAAATGCTTATTCTAAATTCAGTAAATTAGATATATCTAATTGCATTTATTTCTTCGTATATATAAATCTTCTTAATCTCAGTTCAAAATCATAACTTCTTAGATTATAAATACTATGATAATGTTCCCCTATGCTGAAAGTGGCCTGCGTTTTTGTTTTTTAGATTATTCTCACACACATATATGTGTTTAGTATACTAGAGATTTTTCTATGGTTTCCAAGTGAAGATATGACACAGATTGTATTATTTTCATTTTCATTGAGTTTTTATGTTTTTATCAAAGTTGTACTTTAAAACTTAGAGCATTATAACTTTAATAATTATTCTGTTAAACATACTGAGACAAAACACTTTTTCCAAGAGCTTGCAAAGAGTATATATTTTGCTTGGAAGATCTTATTTACAGAGAAATCTCTTCAGAGTAGTTTGGAATTTTGTAACATGTTTATTAGGTGATAGAAGATTGGATCAAACTATAGTTTTTCTTCAGAAATTTAATGCAAATAAGATCTTTATTGATGAAATTATTTTAAACAGAACCTCAGATTTAGCTTGCATTATTGTGAAGGAAAGAAGGAAAATGCTGTAGAGTTATTAAAGTATAAATCACATTGAAATGAAATTAAGATAATTTCCAAAATGTTGAATAAATGTCTCTAAATATTTTTATAATATTAATGCATAAGTTAACATATTTTATAAGATGGAAAGTTTGCTAATAATATAAATAGAGGTTTCAAGTAATAAATTTTATGCTAATTATGCATTACTTCTAATAAATTCTTAAGTTTCAGCAAATATTAAGTTTTTTAATTCTGATTTTTATTAAATGCTAAAGAAAAGAAATTTACTCTGAATTGGATTCACTTTCTTTGAATTGTTCTCAATAAATTAGTGTTATGATGCCTTCTTTATCAGCAGGCAGCATTTGGTATTCTGCTAAGTGTTAATAAGTTTTTAAATTTCTAAAAATTTGGAGTTGTACTTCATGTTAATCAGGTGCAATTTAACTAAATATTGCTTGGAATGTTTTTGTTCCTGTACACATAGATCATGTGTAATAATCATATAATTTATTAGTAAATTTATTTCAAGACTGTATTATGTTTCACATTCATTAAAAAAAGGCTAATTTTGCTGATAAATGTAAAATAAAATGTTTCTTTTGAGTTGCAATCCCCCCTTAAAATTATATTGATTCATATTTTTTATGTTCTTCAAATAGTTTCAAATTTTAAAACATGTATTTTTCTATTGTTGTTTTTATGTATGTTAAATTTTCCAGTACACAAAGGAAAAAAACATTCAAAAGTTAAGAGTTTTTAAAAAAATTGCATTTATAGTCAAAGCCTGTAGAAAAATGTCTTGTATTAAAATTAAATGGCAGCAATATTAATAAAACAGAATATTTTCATTGAGCCAATTAGATACTATTGTACTTATTATGCCTAGATGTTTTCGATTTTAATATGTTATTAAACCAAAATACACAGTATCTGTAAGCAATACAGTTGTAGCAAATACGAAACTTCTTTTCTGATTTTAGAGTGATTATAACTGTTCTTTAGTATTAAGGAGTATAAGAATCTTTTTGGCTATTTATTCTTTAGTCTGTTATGTTATCTGTGAGCTTAAAACTTTGAAAGTCTTAAAACATTTATAAAAAGTAATGTTTAAAAGTTCATTAAATCTGAAACTGATTGGCAATAATAAAACAGGAAATGGAACTTGATATATTTCTGTGCATAGTTATGCTCGGTGGTTAAAATCAGCAAGTGAATTAATTAATGTAACATCGTGCTTAGTTAATATTATAGGAGGATATACTGTTTATTTAAATGCATTTTAAAGTTTAATTTTTTCTTATTTTTTTATCTTTCAATTAGTAAAATAAAGTATGTAATTGTACATTTATATTAAAAAATGTGTTTATCCTTGGAGATTATAATGTTTATGAATACTTCGAGTTTATAATGTCTTAAATTTATGATGTCTTAATTTATTAAATGAGATATTAGTTTTGTTAAGGTATAATTAGATAGTACCAGTTTGTATTTGTTTGTTGGAAGGTATATTTTTCTTAGTGTGACTAATTCAAATGAATTTATATGTAAAGAGTTAATTATTTTAGAAATCAGGATGTAGAGTTACTTGTAATGATTAGGGGCTTCCGTGTAAAAGAATCATAAAAGTTTCTCATATTTATATAATTGAATTATATTTCCTTTGATGTCTTAGTTATGAACTATTCTTATTGAGATTATTTTAAAGTGGTTTTTATATGGTGAACTACATCCTGGGAACATTTTTGAAAGTAACAATGTCTTCTGATTCCATTTTCTTTGTATTACATTCCATGCTTGATAATTGATTCACTTGTCAGTCAGTTGTTCATAATATATACTTTTTATAGTTTAATTTTGTGAAATATAATGATAGTGATGTTATCAGAATATGTAAAATAAATTGAAGTAATTGCGCTTAAGAATAAAAAAACTTACTTTAAATTTTCCACCAAACATAGTTCATAAATTGAATTCATTTGTATTATATCTCGCTTTAAAAAGCACTAAAATAATCTTACACAATCTAAAATAATTATCAACACTTTTATTAAAACTGGTTATAAATAATGTATGCTTATAATGCTATATACATTGGTGTATGGTTATCTTCATATATTATATATTCATTTCCATTCTGAATAAATTAAAACTTTTTTAATTGCAGAGAAAAATTAATTTACGTATTATTGTAATTTTCCTTCTCTCTCTTTATTTTCTTTAATGTAAAGTTTTTTTCACTATCTACATATCAGAAAATACATTGTTTATACCTTTGTTATTCCTGCTTTATAATCATCATGTGTTCTATTGGATGAATACTTAAATGGGTACTTCTTTGAGCTTGAAGTTATGTTACTGAATAAAAGAAGACTGACGAACCTTTAAAAACTAGTTACTAGATTGGATAAATTATTAGCTATGAGTTTTATTATAATGAAAATAATTGTATGAAAGTCTTGAAATTGTCCAGATTTGAAGACAGAATTTATTTTAAAAATAATTGCTAAATGAAGAAGTTACTGATATAATTTCAGGCCATTCATTCTTGAGAGAAAAGCATTTATGATTGAGAAGAGTCGAAATTTGTCATGGAAAGCTTTAGTATCTGACTGGGACGTAATATAGTTATAAGACTGCTTTTATAGTAAATATTGAGGTTAATATAAATATTGTTTCAACAGTTAATAATGTGAAATGTGCAATAAAGCAGGACTAACTTGGAATATATTGAAGAGAGAAAAGGTGTGGTATAGTTTAATTATGCTGATGTTTATGTATAATTAATTATAATGAAGTATTAATAAATATTTATAATTATTAATAAATATTTAAAGTTTGTAACTAAGAAATGTTTTATTATAATCAGCGCTGTTACTGATGAAAGTCGTATTGTTAATAGTTATCAGCAATTTTATGAAAGATTTTGTAATAATGTTTAAAAAATTTTCTTTACTGTGGTAAATTTTAGGGAAATGGTGTAATAGTTGTTGTAGTGCAAAGTTTGCAAAATGATTTTTTTTTTTTTTTTTGGATGAAATTTAAATTAGTATTATCAAGGAATGTATAGAAGGTAACTGTTGTGATTTGTACTTTTCAGAAGAAACATCACTCCATCTGTTAAATTTTAGAGCACTGATCATTATGTGATAATTTGATAGATGATCCTGCTATGAACAAATAATTTATGATTTTTTTTCAATCATAAATTAGCTTTTTATGCTCTTCCAAACACTTCTTTTTCTGCTTTATTTTGTTATGAGAAAGCATTAAAAGATTATTATGTGATGTTTATGTCTGAATATATTTAGTGTTAGTGTTTCTGTGGATGTTTGTTTTTTCTTGTATTCATTGAGATATGTATGGTGTGCATATACTTGCAACAGAAAATAAATGTGGTAAGCATTTCATGTCAAAAGAAGTGACTTGCATTACTATCACAGCACTTGATATGAATTTTCTATGTACATTAGAATGCAAATAAGGATTTTGTTTTTCAGTATAATTTTTCTTTATACAGATTTATTTTTTTGGTATCTTTTAGGCATTTTATTTAGTAAAGGCCTGTACTTATATAATGTGTATGTATCTTGCAATCAAAGTCTAGTCTTTCTTGCTAAATGTTATTTATCAGATAGGATTGTAAGTCTGTTGAATGTTTTGTTGTTTGGGAGGTATTTGTGTTCAGAAAATAAAATACATTTAACTTTCCATTGACTTGTTGTATCTTAAATTCTTGTTGATATTTCTTCTGTACCCTCATACCTAAAATTAGTGATTATGCTGTTTTGTAATTTTAATCTTAACTCAATAATTAGACTTCTGCATATATTTTAAAACTTTTTTCTATGCTTCAGTGTTTGAATTATCCAAACACTTAATATGTGTAGAATCGGTGTAATTTTGTTCCTGCGTTGTTTTAAAATGTTAATGATGGGGTTTATCCGTGTTACATCTCATATTTTTGGCAGTACTTACAAAGCAATTAGTATTTTGGGCAATATTAGAAAGTTACAAATTATTCCAAATTGCCTAATATTGCCTATCTGTAGTCACACCACTGTGGTGATGTAACTTCTCAACATTTGAAACGTTTTTCTAAACGATATTTTATTTTTTGTAACGTAAAAATACAGTTATGTAGCTAGAATTTTTTCCACTCTGTGTAGTTCTTGAGTGTGCTTCCTGGAGTGGCCTCTGAATTGGCAAACTAATAGCTACAAAAAATGTCAATAGTGCATATAGGGGAAAAAATGTATGATTATTTTGCCTTTTTTTTATTTTTTGTCATGCAAAACCATCGATGATTTATTTGGGGGAATAGAAAAAAGTTCATAAAAATTCGTCTTAAATTATATTTATTTAGAAAATGCTTCTCATAGCTAGCAAGATTGAGAGAAATTGAGAGGAAAATTTGCACTAGTATTACAATACTTTGCACTGGTATCCCAATACCTTTTTCTGGAGATCGCATTTTAGAATAAACTGTAAAAATTCAAAAGGGCCACCCTTCCTTGTTTCCATTTCAATTTCGCTAGCAATAACGGAAATAAATATCCAAAAGACTTCTTTCTTACAGTCACCATAATCATAATTTAATTGATATTCAAAATTTGCTTTTAAAAGTTTCGATGGAATAAAAAAGTTACATCAGAAGTATTCAGCTATTGAAATTATGTCGTGATTTCTCGGAATACTTTATCTGGTATAAAAACTCTTTTTCTTCTCAATTTAATTTTGTATGACAATTTAGAATTTTAATTATTTTTCGCCTGCCTTGAGGATCCGCCCTATAAAATAATTTTATGCAAAAAATGCCGCCACTAAAAATTGGGCAGACAGCCCCTTCCCCCCTCTAGCTAAACTACTGTGCAAATATAAAAATTTCTCTCTTTAACTTGTGTATGGTCCTGAATGATTCTTGATTTTCATATCAAATGTCTCGTTCAGTTCTTGTTGTATGGTGGTTAAACTTTTTTGTTTTACTTTTTATAACAAGTCCACATTTTCTGTAAATATAAATATAGGAATCGTAAAAGCGTGTGAAAAGTTAGATTTCGTAATATTTACGAAATTGATTACAAAATTATAACACTACAGGTGAACTGAACATAATTTTCGTGTTAACATTATCTTGATTATTTAAAACTATCCGAACGTGTTTCCATCGCTGATCGAAAATGGTATCTCTGGAGTAATTTAAATATAATTTTTAAATTGGCGAGTTATTATCCATTTAAAAGAACAATTTTGAAATTTATGAGACTAAATGATGCTTCATATTTTATCTTTACTTTTAATCCCATGTCATAATTTAAACTCACTAGGCACATGTGCATAATTTTATGAGTATGAAAAGAGGTTGATGCAAATTTTTATTCACAGCAATGAACAAGTTTGCCACCTTTGTCTAATTCATTTCGATATGTTTTGCTTTTTTGTAAATCTTAAGTTAACAGTTCATCTTTCTCCACGTTTCAGTCTTTTCGAAACTGTATTTTGAAAATTCTTTTATAAAAGCATATCTTTTAAATATGTTTTTATATCCATAACCTTGGAACTAAGGAACAAAACTAGATTCTTCTAAAATATGTTCTTTAGTGTCAAAATCTATTATATTAGAATTAACTAGAACAATTTCCTTTAAATCTTCCACAAAATATTAAAAATTGTAAACCTCCTTTTTTATTTCTTTTAAACTAAAAAATTAATTTTATTATTTCACTGTACCTTATATATTACCTTCCAGTCGACGAAGATTGAGAGAAATTTATATGCCGATTCGTTGATTTCATCAGTAGTAACCGCAGTAGTAATTCAAACGAGGAATTGGGTTACTGCTAGATTTCTTTGGGTTCATGTAACCAATCTTTGACAGTATACTGGTTACCTATAGGTAACCACCGTAAATTTAATACCGAGTAAGAATTGTGGAAGTTTATCTAGAGTTTCAAAAATTCCCAATAGTTCAAGTTTACTTAAGCGATAATTCTTTTTAGCTTCCATTGTCTTTCTGACGCTTTCGTTTTTCAGTTTCTTCGTTTTCTTTTTTTTTTTTTTTTTTTTTTTTTTTTTTTTTTTTCATTGTAATTCAACTATTCTTTGGCGCATTCTTCACCGTACTCTTTGCTCGCCAAAATTATCTTTTTCAAATCGCTCATTCTAAGACTCATTTGCATCTTCTTCCAATTCTTCAGCTAATAGTCTTAAATCGCTTAATTCTTGAATCCTTACTGAAATACGCATTTTGAATTTTTAACGTAATTTTCTTTAAAATATCTAAATATTGGAGTTTAATATTCTAATGTTTCTTATGGCAACTTATAAGGCAGATGATTTCCTGAATAGCGTTAATCTTATGTTCAGTTATAGCAGCAATTCAAAAAATATCTTCTTTCAAAGTTTATCTATAATTAAATGCAAATAAAAATAATTTTCAAACACTTTTACGCACTAAAATACGTTAAAATTGATTTAGTTACATTTCTACGTAAAATAATGTCCACTACTGTGTTTTAATGTAGATCCACTGTAATCCCACATCTGGTTTCTGTTATCTTCCGATGTATTTAAATTAGACATTCATTAGTCGTTTTTAAAAGACAACAGGTATTTAGTGAAAGATAAAGCATATTCGTAGTTAATTAGGCTAACACGTAACATATTCTTAAACATACGTAGATAATAGACTTTCTCCTCAATCTTTTAAGACGCTTCACAATTGATTTTATATTTTCCACTTAAAACATTGCGTATTATTATAAATTTGTAGTTTTTATTTTCCTTACTGTGAGAAATGGTATATTTGCCAGTTATTGATATATGGTATTCTAATATGTGCAATGACAGAATAACGTTATTTAGGAATCTAAGAAATAGTGAAATGAAAACTATGCTGATGTTCACTTGCTGTAAAAAATTATTTTTCTTTTTTCGTTAATATATTAACTTCTTAAGTCTTTTTATATTGTAATGAATATTGTCTACTTAATAGTATAATAGGAATTATACGAAAAAATAAAATAATTTGTAAAAATAGTAAAATTAAAGGGTTCTACGACGTAAATTTAAAAAAAAAAAAAAAAAAAAAAATGTTCTTATTTGTATTAGTTGTAAAGCTTAAAAATCTTTAAAAATATTGAAACTGTCTGAAAAAATGTATGCGAGACTTGTTTACCATTCTAATAAATGGCAGGACTCAAATATTCTGTCATGGGATACGAACTGCGCGAAATTTAATTGAAGATCCTCCCCCTTTCTTATCTAATCCACGAACTGCGAACTGCGCAACCTTTTCCTGCCTCTTCTTTTTCAGAACCTGAATTCCCAAGAAGATGGTGCTACAAAACGTCATTTATCGCCATTAATGGGACATTTTATTGACACTACAAGCCTCTATTTTCTTAATTAAAATCTGGTTAATTTAAAACCTGACGTGCGCTAACGTAAACATAAATTTCTTTTAAACCTATTTTAAAGTTTTATGATGCTTAAAATAATAATGAGCCAGATCTTTTTTATTCCCTGTAAGAATTAAAAACTTTCCAAGTTGTAGATTTTAGTTGCTAATAGTATATATATAGTCGCTATACCCCCCCCCCCCCCCCCCCCCCCCCCCCCCCCCCCCCCCCCCCCCCCCCCCCCCCCCCCCCCCCCCCCCCCCCGTTGATAATATATATATCTGATGACGATAATCAACCTATCTAATATCGATTTATAGCGCACCTTAAATAAGTTTTCTTGTCTTGATAAATATTAAATCTTCTTAGATAGTAGAATGGTTTTAACTTTCAAATTTACCATTTTAGGTATACAGTTCTTAAAACTTAACTTACCATCACGAGGAGCAATTTCCTCGGCGATAGTTTCTCGTTTATTTACTCGTGGCTCCTTGCCACGTCGTCCAGAACTGTTTTTATAGAATCAATAATTTTCTCAGAATGCTTTTTACGTATGTTCATTGAATTTGTTTGGGCACTTAGAAAAATTGACAGTATGTTCCCTGCACAGTTGCAGGATGTCAGTTTTTCGATCCCTTTTGCGTGGTAATAAGAACTTCTGTGTGGAAGAGCACATTTTACACACCTCGAGCGAGTTTCAGTTCACGGATAAAATTTACTTTTGCCATAACATTATCCATCTCCAAACTTTTTTTACACAAGGTGTTTTTTCAATTTACAGGGATTTAATGAGCCCAGTTAGTGTAATTTCACGGATCTAGTTAGTAATTAATCTGAGATGACAATCCTACTTTATAAGGGCAATAAAGGTTAAAATTCAAAAATTACTTTTGGCTGATACATATATATATCAAGATAAGACGCAAGGATTCCAAGAATTTTGCTTCTGTTAACTGCTCTCACTCTACAGTAGTTCCTCCTGTAAGGGACAATTGTGTTGATCCCGGTGCCTTTGAATAGGACCTTAATTTATGTATGTCTTATTAGGAGACACTGAAAACAATGTTTCAAAAATAAGATAGATATACATAAACAAATAAATAAAAATAGACATACTCTTTGTTGTAATGTTTTGAGATTTCAAAAGCAAGTTTGTGCTCAGTAAAAAATAGTTTTGTGGCAAGGGAACAAGGAAGTGATAAGTTAATCCCTCTTTTTTAAAACTGCTTTTTACAAGAAAAAAGTGAAACAATATGTCTTAGGAAAAAGCAAACTGTTGGTTTAATCAAAAGGATATTTTACATTCATAAAAT